ACAAACTGGTTTATAACAAACATGCTTATGAACCCACCAACATTATATATGTTAACCGTTTTCAAAATAACTTGTATTCTCATGTCACAGATAAGCTGAAGAAAATTACCAAGTGTGTTAGGATGTTATGTTTTGTGACTCTCAAACAATTTATGCTATGTATATGTAATATTTAGACAATGTATTTGATATGAGCAAGGTCAGTTGTAATGTATTAATGCATGGTGATGTTTATGTTATGTTTCATGTATCTTCATTGTGATGGTATTCAATTGATAGTCACACGAGCCCTCGAACGTTTCCGCCGTCTGGTTCGAGGGTGTAACAGAGGAAAACCACGTACTCTAGGTGTTTAGTCAGCATGGACAAACCCTAACTTTTAGGGTTTGTGCCCCATTTAACCATCTTAAGTTGCCTTTAGAGTTTCTTATGACCAGCCTCTACGTCTCAAAACCCTAAGAACGAAACCCTAATTTCCATTTGAGTGTTTTGAACTTAGAAGTGAACTTTAAAGGTGTTTTTGGTGATTTTAAAGGAAGTAGAACCTTTGGAATTTGCATTGGTGTGGCTAGAGCTTGTGCATCGAGAATCATCACCAACTTGGAAAGCTTTTGGAGGTATACAGCTCTTAGCTTGATGACTCTTTCGATAGATCTAATTAGGGTTTGTTTTTATGCTTTTTATGGTCCTTTAAGCCATGCTTAAGAGTATGAGCTACTCCAGATGCCAGGGATGGTAGATCCTAGCATTTTTGAGGTCCTTTGTTCATAAAAATGCAATATGGGTGTGTCATATTGGACCATGCATGAGTTAGGGTTCTTATTATGGGTTTTTATTGAGTTTGGGTCCCATTAAGGCATGTAAAGGAGTAAAGTTGTCAACTTTACGTGTTAAGACATAACTTAGGAGCATATCTGAGAATTTGGCATAGTGTCTTAACTAGTTAAGCACTTAATATCAAGTTGGTCTTGTTGTGGAGTACGTTGGGCGTACTTAGCTCGTACGCATTGTGTACTGGCCAAAGATGGTGTACATAGGGCGTAAGTCTGAGTAAGCAAGGCGTACTCAACATCCTTGACTTTTGTAGACTTTTGGGTTTTGGGCCATATTTGGACTATTAGGGTTTTAGGTCTTGTTGGGCCACTATTTATGACATTGGGCCATTGTTAGGCTTTGGGCCTATAATGGGCTTTGGGTGTCATTTAGGAATATGGGCCATATTGGGCTTTTGTAGCCATTGGGTTGGACCTTGGTTTTGGGCCAAGTAAAGAAAGGATAAAATGGTTTTTCGCCTTGGGTATTGGACAAGATAACTAGATTCCTAGTTAAGGTTTATGGCCCGATTATTAAGTGGGATCTTTATTTAATTGACTAGTGCAAGGATTTTCCGTATTAGCAACCTAATCGTTTGTTTGACTGTTAGCAGACTGATGTGAGTTTGCTCACTAGCTATACTGTAGGACACTAGGATATGTTATGTGCTTGTAGTCTTTGTGAATCATGTTGTATGTGTTATATGCTTGTACGCCTGTTTGCTATAAGTATGTGGGGGTGAAATAGACTTGGTACAACCTTGTGCTTATATATGAGTTTAAATAGACTCGGGGGTGAAACAGTCCCGTAGGTAAAATAGTCCCAGTGTGGCCTTGGGCCGACGCATGAGTTGAAATAGACTCGGGGGTGAAATAGACATGGAGGTTAAATAGACCAGGCATAGCCTTGAGTTGGTAGATATGTATGGTTGCAGTATTTTAGGGAACTCCCTAAACTTCGTGCTTACGGTTTCAGTATATGGTTAGGGTTCTTCTGGATCGAAGGAGAAGAGCTCAGGATGATTGTATCTCACACACACACACATACACACCATGATTTCCGCTTTACTTGACTCTGATGTATTTGAGATGTTTGATTGATATATCCTGTTCTTCGTTACGAATTTATGAACATGTTTGATTGGTGATTCTATTATTATGAAAACAAAAATTTTGGTCTTAAATTTTCGGACGTTATATATCACACATACGATGTAGGTGACTACCTGACCGGTGATGTAGATAGTGGATGATAGTGGAAGCGGAGATGCGAAAGAGAATGGGTTGAGGGAATTACTCTTAACATTTCTTAGGTTTTAGGGAAAATGATTGTTTTTTTTTTTTTTTAAAATTTTTCAATATATAAATCATAATTTAATTATAAAAGAAATATATAAACCATAAAACTAATTATAAAAAAATAATAATAATAACACAATAATCTTTTTAAGTCAAATATGAATTAAACGCACAACAAAAACATATAACACCAAAGAACCATTCGTATAATTTACTTTTTTTACTTGTTGATTTTGATAGGTGATGTAGATAGTGGAAGCGGAGAGGCGATAGAGAATGGGTTGAGGGAATTACTCTTAACATTTCTTAGGTTTTAGGGAAAATGATTGTTTTTTTAATTTTTCAATATATAAATCATAATTTAATTATAAAAGAAATATATAAACCATAGAACTAATTATAAAAAAATAATAATGATACAATAGTCTTTTTAAGTCAAATATGAATTAAACGCACAACAAAAACATTTAACACCAAAGAACCATTCGCATAATTTACTTTTTTTACTTGTTGATTTTGACACCCATCAAATTCAGACATTGTTGTCGATTACTGCCCATGCTTCATTATTATTTTTCTACACCAAAATTATCACAAGTGATTGGTTGTGTGATGTTTATTTTTTTATCGGAACATTTTGGATGAATGGTTTCAAAACAAAAAAATTGAAAGTAAAACAAAAAAGAAGATAAAGAAGATGATGTGGATGGTGTTTTTACATGATTGTAAAAATAATACCTTCTGCAAGAAACAAGATTGAAAAATGGTTGGATATATCTAGGGTTGTAAACGAACTGAACATTCGGTAAATCGTTTATGAACCATTTGACGAGAGTTCGTTTATCTTCGTTTATTTAGTAAATGAATGAACACGAACACAATTTCTCGTTCGTTTAGTTAAACGAATGAACATAAACAATGATATTGTTCATTGCTTTATGTTTGTGAACTTTCGTTTATGTTGTTCGTTTAAGTTTATTTATGTTCAAATATGTTCAATGATTTTTTATAACATTACTATATTATATATTAATTTATATTCATATATGTTCAATAATATTTGTTTATATTTGTTTGTTTAGTATGTAAAGAATGAACATGATCAATAATGTAATTTGTTAAACGAATGAATGCGAACTCATTTGTTTATCCGTTCGTATTTGTTTGTTTCTTCGGCAAACTTAAACGAACAAACATGAACAAGTCATTGTTCGTCTTCGATCATTTTGTTTAGAGCCATAGATACATCCACACGATAGTATGGAATTTTAAAAAGTCTACTACAAATGGTTGCAAGGGAAAGAAGGATCGTCAAAAATTGAAAATGCAACAAAAACTACTATTCTCCTTTCACATGTTATACTACAATCGCATAAGAGATAATTTCCTTCCTTTCTTACTTATTTATATATTTTTTTGGTAGAAATATCATTAACTAAATAATAAAAATATTAAAAGTCTTACTTATGTCAGGTTAAAAACGGTATCGTATTCTAGTTCTATTTCCGTACACTAATTTCCCAATAAATAAGAGAATTCACTCATTCCCGACTAATTAAACTTCCATTAATTCTACAGTATTGGCGTCTTGAAGGTATGTCTTCTTTATCTCTCCCTCTCCTTCTCCAACCATCCACCGCTCCCCTCGTCCCCTTTCTCATCTTCTCTTACCGGTCCACCGCCGTCCGCCGTGACTCACTCTTCCCTCCTCTAACCATAAACCCTCAAGCCACACCTCCCCGCTGATAACTCACTGTCCACTACCACCGTAAAACCCTAAACACAGACCATCAGCTTCATCCCACCACTGACTCCGCCTCACCCCATTTCCTCCCTTCCTGCCATGCACCACAATCCGATCGGACACCCTTACCCCGCTGCCGACAAGCTATACCACCCTCCGATTTACAAAACCATATTCCAGCTCTTAACCTGCCTGTAAATTCCATTTATCCCACCTTAATTTCTGTGTGAAACCTCCTCTCATCCCCTTTTCGACGGAGAACACCAGCTGCTTTCTCTCACTTGCACCACCACCAACTGAAACCTCTCTCTCTCTCTCTCTCTCTCTCTCTCTGTGTGTGTGTGTGTGTGTGTGTTTGGGCTTCTCTGCTTAAAAAATCCCGAAAAACAAATCCCTAACTTACATTTCGGCTCATGTTCTTCCAAATCCCTTGCTAGATTAATGTTTTAATCCTACATTTTTTTTTTTTTTTGAATTCATAGTCTCACCGGAGCATCAGATTGAGTTACAAGAAAGCTTTTTGGGGTCAGGTACAATTGCATGCTTCGATTCCATACTCGATCTTAGATTAACTTTGATTGGAATTATAGGAATTTTGAGTTTTTGTATCTAATTTATTGTTGTCGATCGGACTTTTGGAGCTGAAATATATATATGAATCTCCACTTAAAACATGTACAGAAACTTTGATTCATGTCATCACCCACAAGTAACAGTTGAGATCAACAAATAGACAATGCAAATTTGAATAATATCTTATCATCTTATATGGAAACTAAAACTGCAGCAACGATTTTCCAGAATAACCCTGTAAAACGCTCATCTATGTTCTTAATCTTATTTTCTACAAGTTACAACTAGCCCCTTCCAGTTTAGAAAATGACTCCTGTAACTTTTTGTTCGAGATACAATCATCTTTTCCTTGTTTCACTCAAACCACAAACAGACTTCATCAACAATTTTCACCTTAATTACCTAGCCAAGATTGACTAAATACTTGAAGATTTCAGCAATATCGTTACATATTCACAGCTGTATTTAATATTTTCTTGGTTAGTTGGACCAAAGTTGACTTTAGTTTGTTGAATAGCAGGATGGATTTTCAGTATGCTTCGGTGATTTTTTCACTAAGCATAGCGTACAGTATGGTTGCGTGTCTGGTACTATTCTCAGGAGGGATGGAAACCATTGGGGAGATAGATGGCGATAAGGTGTTCATGTTTGCGGAGTTGATAGCTATTTATATCTCCATGGTTGTATATGCTGTTGCACTGAGTGTGGGACCTATACTCTGGAGAAAGATCGAGGTGCATGCAAGGAATGCCATGCTTATTGCAGCTGCTGCTATGGCGATAGCTGTTCATATGGTTATTCTTAGGAAGATAGGAGGCGACTACTGGTTGAGGCTTTATGCTAATGCGACGTTCACTGTGTTGGCGACTCTCGCTTGTGGTTTCATCTTCTTTGTGACAAGTAGAGATTCTGTTGGTAGCGTCGGTTATTAATTTTCGGTAAACAATGAACTCATGACTCTCCATCTGTTGGAATGATGTCGACTCTTCTATTGTATTACTATTGAATATGAATATTATTAGTTTGGATATGTGACCAAATTAGTCTAATTTTATTCTGTTTAAGTTTTAGGCAATGTTTTTTTTTTTTTTTTTTTTTTGAAAGAGAAAATGAATATTTTTTTTGAAAGAGAAAATGAAACAAATAAAAGTTTTAGGCAATGTTATGGAATCAACAAGCCAGCTTTTTATTTTCTTCATGGATAGCTATTTTTATGTTAACCCTGATAAAAGTTAGTGGAATATAATACGGATGTTGAATTCTAATCTATATTGTTAGTTGTTGAATTCTAATCGTACTTGGTTTAAAAAATGCTTTTAATTTTGTTCTTAGACAATATATGTAGTCACCTGGTTGTCTCAAATAGATAACCATTTTTTTTGCCTATAGAAGTGGTATGTTATGGAGGTGAGATATGAGAATCTCGGTCATAAAAGTTAGGACATCGCTTATATTACTTTGTGGGCGCTATGATTTACTTTCTCATATTGACTGTAGACTAGTCGGTATATAAATATGGATGGAGGTTAATGTCATTAAGATGCAATAAGCCATTCAAAATTTTATGCAATCTATGATCTATCTCGTCTATTTGTTTATTTTAAAGTCATTAGATTCATTTGTACTTTGATTAGTCAAAATGATAGTTTAGTAAATGGTTAATTGTGTAGTTGCCTTCGTTAATTTAATATTTATGCTAAAACATCATTGTTATTATTTTATTTTATTAATGTTTTGGTGTAAATTATATATATATATATATATATATATATATATATATATATATATATATATATATATATATATATATATATATATATATTTATATATTTATAAATTCATAATCATCTCTTATTCTTTTGTAAAGAGATAAGGGTTTGAAATTCCAAAAAACAAATTCTCCTTTACATTCGGCATGTTCTTCCAAATCCCTTGCAATATTAGTGTTTTAATCCTACATCTTTTTTTCAATTTCATAGGTTTGAGTCCCACTAGAGCTGTCACATTGGATTATAACAAAGTTTTTAGGCATCAAAAAATTAAATCCATGTAAAGTTTTATTCTTTTTGTTATAGATTCTTGGCTTAACTTTCATTGATGTTTGGGAATTGCGTGAGTTTTTGTATAAAATTCACAAAAAATTGATTGTTGTGGGACTTTAGGAGCACACACATTACATTCATATCCGTTGAAATTATATTATTAATCTTAGTTACCATGTCACAACCCTATGTGGTAGAGGATTGTTCCTCAGTGAACTTCAATCGGGGCCTCTTGGTGAATCATTTAGAACTATATATCCTCCTTAATGGCTTCAACTTCATCGTAAGCAGATTCATTTTCGACATCTTTTTCTCGTTGAAATTTCTCCACATGTTGATGAAAAACCCTTTGGAATTGACCTTTGGAAATTGGCTTCTAGGTGTCACCATTTTCTATAAAAGAAATATCAACCTAATCTTTGATACCAATTGATGTGAAATTATATATGAAACTGATAACACACCCAAAAATATAAAACCAACCATGCACTACTTAAAACAAAGAACTCGAACATAAACGATTAGTAATTGGATTGATTATGATCCACGATGAAAATATATAAAGGCAGAGTCACCATAATTAACGATAAATGAACTTTGATGAGAGTCTGTAAAGATTTTGAGAAATCGGGACTAATGATAAATATTTTGGATATGTCCTCACTACCCGGATTCATATAGATAGGGCCACTAGAATCAAGGATAAAGGGAACCACGGGGATCTAGGATCCATAAAGGTAACAAAGATTTCATAAAAGAGTAAACACATAGTTTTTCATATCATTTTACTAGGTCAATTACAATGGAGAAGGTCATCAATTTATGAAAGAGAAATCCTACGACTAAAAAGGAAATTAAATAAAAGATAAGATCTTCTATGATGTTTATTCAGTGACAACAAAATTCCATCAAACACTCTATACAAACACTTCAATGGTCAACAAAAGATTGGAAACCCTAAAAATCCCGGTTTAAGTCCAATATGGACTAGGATTTTCTATTGGGCCTAATGGATCAATAAACCTCCAATTTGACTAATTTGGGCTTAGAACCCTTAATTGGGCTCTAATTCAACCCACCTTCATAAGATTTGACATTTTGGGCCACATTGGGCCTAAAATGGAATAAACTAGCCTAATTAACCTTATCGGGGCATAACTAACCTAATTAGCTTTAATGGGCCATGAAACCCATTCTCTTATGCTAGTTGGGCCGTGAACCATCCAAAGGAGCCCAATAGGCCAAAAACCTTCTTCTTGTATCTTAGTTTCGAACATAGGCTAGAAGTGGGCCAAAAATTTATCCATACCTTCTTCCACTAGGCCCATTTCGGCCCAAGTAAAAAAAAAGGGGAAGAATAAAAAGAATTAAAAGGAAATTAGAAGAATTAAGGAGGGTTAGCCACCTTCAGAATGTGCATCGATTGTAGGAAATTGAATAAGCTCACTATCAAAACCGATACCCAGTCTTTCGGATTAACGACCTATTTGACCAGCTCCAAGGAACTAGTTATTTCTCCAAAATAGATCTAAGATCCGGATATCACTAGCTCTGAGTCCAAGAAGAGGACGTTCCAAAAATTGCTTTCCGAACTCGATACGGTCATTTCGATTTTGTCGTGATGCCCTTCAATCTAACGAATGCCCCATCAATATTCATGAACCCCACGAACCGAGTTTTCCCAACCATTCCTAGTTAACCTTTTAATTATTTTCATCGATAGTATAGTCGTCTGCTCACAAAACAAGAACAAACACTGGCAATACTTACGATCGGCTTTGGAGGCATCACAACCGGAGAATATTGTGAAAGAAGCATTGTGTGGATTGGATAAAACTCAAAAGTCAAAAGGACGAAGCTTATTATTACAAGAGTTGGATCAAGCACTAACTGGGTGATTGTCAATAGGTTAATCAAATCTTCTCATTTCCTGCCAATAAAAGAGTTGTACAAGATGGAAAGATTAACATGGATCTATACCAAAGAGACCGTGAGACTCCAAGGAGTGCCAACATCTATAATCTCGGATCGGGATAGTAGATTTACCCCAAGATTCTTTGGCAGTCACTCTAGAAGGCCAAGGAAACACAGTTAGTCATGAGCACTGCTTATCACCCTCAAACTGATGGCCAAAGTGAACGAACCATCCAAAACACTCGAAGACATGCTTCAGAATTGTGTGATTGATTTTGGCAATTCACGTGATGCCTAAATACCCTTGATCGAATTCTCATACAATAACTGTTGTCATTGTTAAGTTTTAGTTACAAATGTTATCATTGTTAATGTTTACAAAAGCATTATAAAGGCAACTCTTATCCCACCCCATCGATCCTCACAACGAAACGATCTAAACTCTCGTATCTAAAATTTTCCTCTTTACCTGATCCCTACTCACAGATCTAAAACTAACCTTTTCACCCAGTCCATACTCACTGATCTAAAACTAACATTTTCCCCTGATCCATACTCACGTATCTAAAATTACCTGATCCATACTCACGGATCTAAAACTACCTGATCCATACTCACGGATCTAAAACTACCTGATCCATACTCACGGATCTAAAACTAACCTCCTGATCTGATCCATACTCCCGGATCAATAATTGTACCCATTCCAGACTCCTGGAATAGGGACAGTTAACTAGACCCTAATCCTGATCTGATCCATACTCTCGGATCTATAACTGTGCCCAATCCATACTCCCGGACTAGTGACAATTAACTTAGTCTTAATCCATACTCCCGGAGTAATAGCAAGTTTATCTCTTTACTTGATCCATACTCTCGGATCTAAAACTAACCTCTTGGCCTAATCCATACTCACGGATCTAAAACTAGCCTCTTGATCTGATTCCTACTCACGGATCTAAACTAATCTCTTGCTCTGATCCATATTCACGGATCTCATCTACCCATGTCCTACCCAACATATTTGTAGTTACAAAATACATATACAGTTTAACTCATTAAAACCTATATAGTTTATCCATTCCACCAACATCTCAAATAAACAACAATATATAAACACATAGCACGTATTTCATAGCAAATACTTAATCATTATGTGTTAGAAGAAAGTGACCACACACTCACTTGATCAGAAGATGATTGGACAGCACTACGGCTTGTAGAAGTAGTATTCTTCGGTGAAACCGGGATCACTTCACACACCTGGTTTCTCACGGGCAGAGCTTCGGCTCAGAACCTCTTTTCTTCTCGGGATCTTCGTGCTTCGTGACTTGCTTCGGGTATCAGGGTTGATACCGGGGATTCGGGGGGGGGGGGGGGGGTAAAATAGGGCTTAGAGGGTGTATCGGGAGTGGGAGTGAAGGGATGGAGCAACCATAGTCGGCTGGCCCTTCAAATCTATTTATAGGGAAAATTTGGCCCTTTCCACGTTGTGGGCTTGGTCTTCATTGCATGCGTCATCACAAGTTGCATCTGGGGGACTCCCGGAGGTGTCAGGAGACTTTCCACATCGTGGCACTGCTTGCCACATCGTGGTCTCTGACAGTTTTGGGGTTTCGCGCCTTGAACTTCAGAAATTCATAACTTTCGTATACGAACTCCGTTTTCGACGTTCTTTATATCGACGCGAAGGTGAGATTATGATCTACAACTCTTGTTTAGACTCCATTGGCTAATTTTGAGTTTATTTTTAATATATTATAATTATATTACTTATATATTATTTTTAGCAGGCCGGGACAGGAAAACTCCGTTATAAACTCATAACTCCTTCATCTGAACTCCGTTTTTGTCTGTCTTTTTATCGTTGGACTACTATCGATGAAATCTTCAATTCTCATTTAGATTCTTCAGGATAAATATCGCTCTAACGTAAATTCACTATTTACGTCACGTTGTGTCGTGCCAGTTCTGTC